GGGGGGCGGGCGCCGTCGGGGGGCTCCAGCCCCGCCGGGAAGGGCAGGGCCGCGGCGCAGGCGGGCAAAGCAGCGGCGCTCGTGGCCTGTTTCGGACGTTTTACTGCTTCCTACCGTCCCAAGCGCTAAAACTGGAGAGCCTGATTCTCGTCCCCAGTCAAGTCATTAAAGCGAACGGGCGTTGGGAGGTACTGTTGGGAGGATAGCAGCTAAAACGAGAGGAGCTCTGGGCCGAGACCCCACCCGGCTGAGCCCGGCTTGCGGGGAGGCAGCCGGCAGCCCCTGCCCCCGCCCGCCCGAGCCGAGCTCGCTGGCTGGGGATGCTCGCCGTGACCCTTCCGAGCAGCCCGTTTCCGAGAGCTGCTTTAAGCCCCGACAACGCTGCCCGTCCTGGCCAGCGTCGGGCTGGCCCCTTGCATTTGGGAAATTAAGTAAGCCGAGGCCTGCCCCTCCTCATCGCTTGGCTTCGGGGGCAGCGCTGACCTTGCCGAGGGGGGGGACGGCGATGACTGTGCAGATAGCGCCGGACGGAAGAAGCGGCGGCTCCTCGTCCGTTCGCACCAGCCCCTCGCGGCAGGGACCTTTATTAGGCAGGAGCTATAAACTCGCTCGCACGGATATAAATGTACGGCGGGGAGGCTGGTGCCAACCGCGAGGCTCGCGCCGAAACGCGGCCGATACTTGGCAGCACGCGGAGTCCCGTCCCGTCGGGAAGATCATCCGGAGATATCTATATACTGTAGGCGATACGAGGCGCTCGCTAAAAATACCCTCCCCAAACTCGTGTGGGTCTTCGGAGAGGCGAATCGTTTTCTCTGGGCGTCGTTTAAAGCACGGGGAAAAAGCGAGAGAGAGAGAGAGGGAGAAGGCGGCCCTGACACGGGCTCTGGATGTGCTGTTTTCAAATACGTCCTGCTCCCTTTAATAACAAACATCGAGCCGGGGTGGTTTTTTTTCTGAGCCCTGTTATAATAAGCTCAGATGTTGGATGACATTTTTCCCGGTGACTCACATAGTAAAATTAACCTT